CCTAATTTTCGTATGGTTTTATCCTTATATAGTTTGAGATGATTTTAATGACGTACATAACAATAAAGTACAGTGGAATTACTTTCTTATTTAGTTATTAGTTACTGGAATAATTAGTTTCTTTTGGCCTCAAAATCAACTAGAGATGTACATGCCTTGCAAAAAAAAGAGATGTAGAAAGTCACAAACCGAAGGTTAAAGGTTACAATCAAAAGAAAGAAAAACTCAAAAAAAAAGGCCCTCATTAGAAAGTACAATTTTTCACCTAGGAACCAAGTTCCGGTTCTCTAGAATGGCACCTTCAAGAAGAAAATGTCATAATGTCGTAATCATCGTCAGGGCAACCAGTCAATGCCAGACTTCGAATTTTCATCCTGCATAGTAGGTGACGATCTCGACATTTTCACACCAAAGCAAACCGAAGTGACTAGTCCACAACTCCATGCCGCCATTTGCACATCCACTTAATTACGAGGTTGTTGACACAAACACAAAATTCCAGTCACCCGCTGCCTCGATTAATCCGCGTCACCATCACCAACGATAAATTGAGTCGGCTGCCTCTCCACACAATAATGATAAAAATGCAGAAGGGTAACGTTGTAGTTGTCAAGACGAACAATGGATTTTTGTCGAAGAAAGTTATGCCTGTGAGGAGATCCACAACAGCTGAAGAAATGCATCGAGCTAGATAGACGCATGATGAAAAGGAGACAAAGGCGCATAAAGCAACCCGTTGGTCACTACTAGCTGCCTTGTCAAGCTATTGGGATCTCCGCCCTGATAGTGCCAATTTGCGCCGAAGGGATGGCGAGACTAGTTTCGATAGCACGCTAACACATGTGTAGTCGCCCTAGCCAACAAATAGTTGAAGGTTACCACTTATGTAATGACCTCCAAACAGTTGCATCCACCGATGCTGGCAAGCACCAAATTGAGACAACTAGCTGGCGTTAGTGGCATTGACCTAACTGGTCGGCCAATTGAAACTAGAACATTCACATGTGACCATCGAGATGTACCACTACATCCTCATGGCATCACATAAGCACCCAAAACCCCAAAAGAGGGAGACGTCATCGAGACCACCACGTCCACGATCAACAAAAAGGAACCCTGCCACCGGCTTGGCTGCGGCGGCAGCTAGGGTTGGTACAAGAGGGTTGACAAAGAACACGCTTCTTCCGAAAATATTTAGAGCCTAGTTAATCGTCATGAATCTATTTTTCGTTGCTTAGAAACAAACAAGTTTGAAAAGTTGTGGTAAAAAAAAAATCCATTATCAGAATCGCATGGTTGATGCCAACCTTAACCAAACATCCGGTGGCAATGACCAAATGAAGTCATCACACGTGAAGATGTCACCATCCGGCAAGATTCCACTTCCACGGAGCACTACTAATTTTCTCCGGCCTGCCTCCCCATTTTTCTATGTTCGTCGAGCACCTTCATGGCAACGTAGAACCACCACGCACGCTAGAGCCACATGTTGGCCGTGCTACCCCAGTAGCTCACGTAAACACATGGTCGCCTACTAATTCAAACCACCAACCACACGATGGATCCATCACGCACTCCACTAGCCTAGTCGGGACGACTTGGGTTAGTTAATTAAAGATACCGTCGTGACCAGTAGCTTTACACGGCCTGGGTCAGTAGTGCGCACCAGTATAATACTAGTACTAGTACTGAACTGTTTTCCGTTTGCACGGGGAAAGGCAGCGAAGCGAACGCTGCGTTCGGATATTTAACTTTGTGTACCCACCCAAGACCCAAGTTGGCACCATGGAGTACAAGGTGTTGTCTTCAACAACCTCGGGCCCTGTTTACGTAGGGATTTGGACCCTGCTGCTCGAATGTTTCAGAAAAAAGAACAGTTAAAAAAAAACATCAGAAAAAAGCCTCGATACTTGCATCGGAAGAAAGGTCGCCGGCCGATGAGGTATTTGCTCTGGGTTCCGGCCAAAATTTTCCGGTCCACGAGCACAAAATTACGCCGAACATCGTCAATTTGTCACGGACCGATGAGATCATGCGTAGAAAGCATGTCGACACCACACCGGCAACGATCGACCCGAGTTGCTACCCTCACCCCCTATTTACGTTAGCTGGCATGATGGGTACACTAGCGAACTGCCGAAAGAGGAGGGAGTACGTGGCGCTTTTCGGGGGTTGGTGTGGAGGAGTGGACCAGGATTTTCTGTGGAGATGCGCGGTGTACATGTCCCCTTCGCGGTTGTTGCAGTCAATGTGTTGCGGCCAACCAAAAAGCTCAGATCTCTCCCCCCTCTGATCGGAAAGAAAAATAAAAGCTCAGATCTCTCCCCGCCAACCACATGTGCGGGTGCACCTACCGATCCAGATTGTGGAAGGGCACCCATCTCCTCCCATGATGCACAATCATTATCAATATAAGCTGTTCTTTGTGGTAGGTGGTGGTAGGCAGGGCAAATTTCTTTGCTCCTACGTAGGCATGCGCAATCAGTATCCTTTTTGAAATACAACCGTATAATATATTAGACGAAGAGAGTATTGGGTAGAAGCAGATAACTGACCTCACAAACGCAAAATCGACACTAGAGAAAATGAAGATCACAACTAAAACCGCGAGCTGAAATATCCGTGCCGAAACCCCAACCAAACTCGTCATTCGCGTGGACAACATCGAGAAATTCAGTCCGTGAAACACCTATAAGGAATGTAGAGGATCGAAACTAATTTAATTGATGCAACAACGTACCACATCATAATAAGGATTGCATATGGCACCACCCCGATCTTCACGGGCAGATGCGTCGGTATCACTAAACCAAGACACATGCCTTGCTCGCATATGCTCGGAAGAACGGGTTGTTGAGGAAGGTGATGTTGTTGTGGACGCTGCGCATGGAGGCCCATCCATAGACAATAGAAAGAACAAACCCACCGCCTGTGAAGAATGACGTAGACGGAATTTTCGAAGCTCCTTGGCAACGTTACACAAAGTGTCGCTCAGATAAGATAAGAGCGAGAGAAATTTTATTAGAAACCGTGTCACTATTACCATCAGAGTAACCATCGCTATAAGGACAAATTCTAACAAAAAGTTCTTGTTGTGTAGTGGACAAGAGATAACAACACCCTCTCCCCGCCTTGTGGAGCCGGAGCAACGACCATTGGCAAAGTGGGATGGGCAGTTGGTCCGGCAGCGAATAGGGTTTCTTTCTATCGATGGTAGTAGTCTTTCCTTGTATACACCATCACAATCAAGTGTAGCATGTTTAATCATGCATGCAATTTCTTCTCCATATAAATATCGACATTAAACCATGTAAGAAAAGGTTACATTATGTAAATCTTAAAATAGAAAACTTCTAGCTATTTCGCAGAGCCTCAACCATGGTCAACGTGGAAACAACGACATTGTTTCAACAATGATTTTTTCTTGGTCAACGCTCTTAGGTCTGGTTTCAGCACAGTTGAGCATCACATGAATCACCTTGATGCGTCCCACCGCCACCTGATCTAGATTCGCAACCATATGCACCATCAAGGTTGCCGCGTGTGTGCACCTTTGCACCCAGATCTGGCCAAGGCCTTTATGTGAACCATTTTGTGTCTACTTGCATAAGGCACCTTTGTTAGAATTGTTGGGGTTCCCTTTCATATGTCTTTTGCTGGTGTGTTGTTGCATATTGCACTACAACTTGATGTCTTACTTCATGGTTTGAGCTAAGATGTCTTGTGAAGTCTAGAGTGGAAAGTTGTGTCGAGCCTAGTTACCAAAATACAGAAGCATTGTGTTTAGTTGTTGTATTTTCATCATCTAAGTGTTCAAACCCAAACCAAGATGGGATAAAATGAACAACTTTTGTTCATGTTTATTGCTTCCAATTTGGTTCGTCATCGTAATGAGATGGGGGATAGGGGGAAAGGTTTCTTCAACATTGATTTGTGGAAAATTGTGTGTCATCGCCTCGCGCTCGGACCGTGTCTACTATAGGTCTAGGTCTTAACTGTCAGGGCCTCAGATGGCTGATGGTGTAACCTAAGTAAAAGTGGTGACAACGAAGGCATAACCTAGTGATGAAAAGGGATTGATGCCTTCTCACCAACCAAGGTTCATTGCATGGTACTTGCTATTGGGGTTTGTTATGCCAATTACACTGCATGGATCTCCCTTATAGTCAATCTGTCAGAAAAAAACCCCGACGACAATGAATAAGTGTGCTCCAAATCCTCAACTGATGATGTGATTTCCTTCGTCATCAACAATGGATCTCCGAAACCGTGTGTGCTCGGGCTGGATATTGGATCAGGGTCGCCCGTTTTAAACTTTTAGTCTTAGACGCAACGAGGTCAAGGATGCAGTGGGGATTTTGAAGGGGCTTCAACTCCCAGGTCAAGGGTGATCGTCGTCCTTTGCTCCCTTCCATGGTGGCCGAGACAACAAGGGTTACATGGATGCGTCGTTTGACCCAACATCAACTTCTCCAGCAGCCTGTGGATCCATGTTGTTGTCGCTTGTCGACAAAATTCCGTGACTTCTCGGCTACGTGCGTGGCGGAACTCCATCGGCGACATCGACATGTGCAGGATGGAGATGATGAAGGATTTTTGAGAGCTATATTGCATTTTCATTTTTTCAGGGACTTCCTTGTAACGACTGTTGTATAATTTGAGCCCACGTTTTTTTTTCAAATATAATGATATCTGGCTTGCCCTGGAGATAAAACCGAACAGACCACAGGGTGAATTTTGCAAAAAATATCTCAGCCGGTAGGGTTTTCCTTGACAAATCTCGTGGTGGTTTGGTGAGGCGCGCCTCCGACCGTCGATTCGAAATCGAACGGTCTGGATTGAAACAAATGCGGAATTGTAGAATGCAGCTGGTCCATTTCCACCGGACCCGTTCCCCATAAAACCCTCCTCACCCCCACCCTCTACCATCGCCGCCTCCTCCCATCACTCCTCTTCTTCCTCCTCCCTCCGCTGCCAGATCCAATCCACCAACCTTCTCCATGGCGCTCTCCGTGGAGAAGACCTCGTCGGGCCGGGAGTACAAGGTCAAGGACCTCTCCCAGGCCGACTTCGGCCGCCTCGAGCTCGACCTCGCCGAGGTCGAGATGCCCGGCCTCATGGCCTGCCGCACCGAGTTCGGGCCCTCGCAGCCCTTCAAGGGCGCCCGCATATCCGGCTCCCTCCACATGACCATCCAGACCGCCGTCCTCATCGAGACCCTTACCGCGCTCGGCGCCGAGGTCCGCTGGTGCTCCTGCAACATCTTCTCCACCCAGGACCACGCCGCCGCCGCCATCGCCCGCGACTCGGCCGCCGTCTTCGCCTGGAAGGGCGAGACCCTCGAGGAGTACTGGTGGTGCACCGAGCGCTGCCTCGACTGGGGCGCCGGCGGCGGCCCCGACCTCATCGTCGACGACGGCGGTGACGCCACGCTGCTCATCCACGAGGGCGTCAAGGCCGAGGAGGAGTTCGAGAAGTCCGGCAAGGTCCCCGACCCGGAGTCCACCGACAACCCCGAGTTCAAGATCGTCCTCACCATCATCCGCGACGGGCTCAAGACCGACGCCCACAAGTACCGCAAGATGAAGGAGAGGCTCGTCGGTGTCTCCGAGGAGACCACCACCGGCGTCAAGAGGCTCTACCAGATGCAGGAGTCCGGCACCCTCCTCTTCCCCGCCATCAACGTCAACGACTCCGTCACCAAGAGCAAGGTATACTTGCTTCCCTGGTTCCCATTTTCCATTTCAGATCTGATGCTCCGTGCCAGCGCGTTTCTACTTGTTTGAGCGTAGTAGTATTGTTGACTTATTGTAGTTTACATGTTTATGTTGTAGATCTGATATTTTAATATTTAGATCTCGTTGTTGCCTAGTTTAGATGCTGCTTCATGGCGAAGCAGCGGTGGAGTACTAGACCTGGATCTGTATCTTTGTCTTTGGGCTTAGTGTTTGTCAGGCTGGTTGTTGACTAACTAACTAATGATAACATTAGTCGCATTGTTTTCTGGATCTGACGGCCAGGGAGGGTCTAATTATAGAGTAACCTGCCTACCAAATATTATTATTTCACTGCACTCATTTGAGCATGAAACACTACTGTGCAATGCACTGAATTACTATGTGATTTGCCCTGTGTAGTTTTTTTTTTAAATGTACTCTTGTTCTGTTTTAATCTAAAGGTAGAATTCAATGACATTTTCACCTTGCTAACAATTACTACTAATCTATGTTGTAATAAAACACTAATATATGTTTCTCCTGAACAGTTTGACAACCTTTACGGTTGCCGTCACTCGCTCCCTGATGGTCTTATGAGGGCCACTGATGTTATGATCGCCGGCAAGGTTGCCGTGGTCTGTGGTTATGGTGATGTTGGCAAGGGCTGTGCCGCCGCACTTAAGCAGGCTGGTGCCCGTGTGATCGTGACAGAGATTGACCCCATCTGTGCCCTTCAGGCCCTGATGGAGGGCATCCAGATCCTCACCTTGGAGGATGTTGTCTCTGAGGCTGATATCTTTGTGACCACCACCGGAAACAAGGACATCATCATGGTTGACCACATGAGGAAGATGAAGAACAACGCCATTGTCTGCAACATTGGTCACTTTGACAACGAGATTGACATGAACGGCCTTGAGACCTACCCTGGTGTCAAGCGCATCACCATCAAGCCCCAGACTGACCGCTGGGTCTTCCCCGAGACCAAGACCGGCATCATTGTTCTTGCTGAGGGTCGTCTGATGAACCTTGGATGTGCCACTGGCCACCCCAGCTTTGTCATGTCCTGCTCATTCACTAACCAGGTATGATCAATGCGCAGTCTCCTGTCAACGAATCAGTTAATAACTTGTACAACCGTGAGCCGACACCCAATTTTTCGCCTGTTGCAGGTTATTGCTCAGCTTGAGTTGTGGAACGAGAAGGCCACCGGCAAGTACGAGAAGAAGGTGTACGTTCTCCCCAAGCACCTCGACGAGAAGGTCGCGGCCCTCCACTTGGGCAAGCTCGGCGCCAGGCTGACCAAGCTCACCAAGTCCCAGTCTGACTACATTAGCATCCCAGTTGAGGGTCCTTACAAGCCTGCGGCCTACCGGTACTAGTGTGTCCAGCACGGCTAGCGGCTGGCCTGAGCCTGAGTCGGAGCAGCGGCACCAACGGGAACTCTATCAACTATCCTGTTTCCCTTCTATTATCTTACATGCTGTCTCTTAGGCGGAGGATTTGTTATTATGGTTATGTTTTGAGCCTTGTGAGGGTTGGGAGAGGCGGCGTTTGCTTTTGCCCAGAAATAATGGCATTATTATTGGTTTGAGTGAGGAGGTGTGCTTTTCCAGATACAGTTTTGTCTCGTTTGTTCTGCCATGTCTGAAATCCTTCGCAAGCTGTTGCTCATATTTGTGCGTGTTTTGTTAATGATCCTGGTCGTACATGATTGTTTGTCCCTGAAGTTTTCTTTCGAGGGGTGTACAAGTAGGCTTATGTCACAAAACATGTCATCAGAAATTTCTTTTGAATTGAATTCAATGGTGGATTTCTTATGTCATCAAAAACAAAGAAGACCATTAGAATTTCTTTTGAATATGAATTTGGATCTGTCTAGGGCACATCTGGATGTGTTCTAGTTCTTGCATATCTAAGTGACAAAATCAAATTTAAAAGTTCTTGCATATCCAAGTGACAAAATCAAACTATCAAACTAAAAAGAAAAAAGAAAAAGACAACAGAAAACGCCTGCATGAATCTTCACAAAATCAATGATGTAGGACTTTTTGTTGACAAATAGAAACAACTTTATTAATTGAAAATAACGGTTACATTGTCTGTTAAAAGTGTTACAATAATCCAAGAATTTGTTGCGGAATTTTTTGCTAGCCTAGCAATTTTATGAGCAACCATGTTCGCTTCCCTATTACGGTGTTCAAATCTAATAAGCGAAAAATCACAAGACAAAAAATAGCAATCATTAAACACTGTTATTGCTGTTTCCGCAAACCAACCTTCATTCTACATGGTATTGATTACTTCCATATTATCGGAGTATTTAACAAGCCGATTGCATCTCACCTTTTGTGCAAGAGATAATCTAACCACCTTTTGTGCAAGAGATAATCTAAATCTATGGGCTGGAGCTTCTCCTGCCATAGCATCAGCACACTATTCAATCTTCCAATTTCCGCCAACAGTGAATTTTTCTTTGTCATCTATACAACGCCAGCCGTTCCCCTTAACAGATCATGATCAAAGACGCATCCACATTCAGTTTAACAAAACTCACAGGCGGTCTACTTCAACCCCCTCTTTTCTTGGTTGCATAGGGGAGTTTGGTGTGCATCTTGTAATTTTCGTTCATGAACCAGAATACATCTATTCCACCATAAGTACTAGGCAGTAATAGCTATCATTTCACGTACATTCTTGAGGCCTAATATAAACAAGTGCTGGTCTGGTATAAGGAGTAAGAATTCAAGGACAACCTCTCCCGCACGGTCAATAGCACAAGCCATGTTAATCATCTCGTATATTCCTAATTTTTTTTCAAACCTCCTCTGCTTTACGACAAAGAAATAACACGTTCTTTGTGTCGTCTGCCCCCTAGAACAGGAAGGGCATATAGGGGAGACTTTCATGTGTCTGTTGGTAAGCGTAACACGACACGGCAAAGTTTCATGCAACGCACCTCATTTTTTTTACCTTTGCCGGACACGATAATTTTCAAATCATGATTATCAATGACACATGACTTAGATGTGCAATCTGCAATACTTAGTGCACATGTAGACATGTTTTAGCAAAACTGTATGAATTCACTGTTGTATTTAATTGGTCAAGTTGAAGATCTAAAAATACAGGTAGACCATAATGGGGTTCTATCTTTTTTGATGGAATTTCCATTTAACGTGGGAGTACAATATAGTGGGATGTTTTTTTTGTGAATGATATGATCTCTAGAGCCTAGTGCTTTGCCCAGTTTTTTTTTGAGACAATAGTACTTTGCCTAGTTTTTTTTGAGACAATAGTGCTTTGCCATGATATTGGGGTTCTATCACATCAACTTTCACAAAACGGCTCGAGAGCCATGCCCACTAGAGAATGGAAAATCAGGCCCAAATAATGCGTATACATAAAAAACATACTTATATGATTTTGTATTTAAAAATGTTAAACATGCATATAAAAAGTTCCTGACATATACCAAAAATGTACATTGTGTGTAAAAAAATAGTTATTGCCACTAAAAAGTGTTCACCGTGTATTAAGAATGTTGAATATTATTAAGAAAAGTTAGTCTTGTATTTAAAATGTTAAACGTATATTAAAAATGTATTATATACATAGAAAAAACAATGTGCAAGGAAAAAGTAGACATAAAAATTATAAGTTTTCAAAAAATATTAATCATGTATTTAAAAGTGTTAAAGGTTTATATAAAATATGTTCTAATGCGTGTGGAAAATATTGAATATGTGCTGAAAAAGTTGACATGTGTTGAACAAAAAAGAAACGGATGAAAATCGACAAAGAAACCCAATAAAAACAAACAGGAAAACAAAGAAAATTGCATTTTTTGAAAACCCATAGAAAATCAATGTAAAATAATGGAAACAGATAAAACCAGTAAAAAACAACAAAAAACAAAGGGAACTGATGACAGCCCAGTGAAATGAAGAGAAATGAAGATTGACATGAAGAAATGAAAAAACCTAGTGAAAACCGAGAATGACGCAAAGAAAATTAAATGAAGAGAAAAACCATTAAAAACTGTGAAACAAACAAAGGAAACCGATAAAAAAACAAAGAAAAACCCAAAAGATATAAAGAAAACCGATGAAGAAACAAACAAAACATAAAGAAAAATCTAAAAGAAAATAAAAGAGACCAAACCTAGACCAGGAGAAGTCGCCTCGCTCGCTCGACGCGGAGAAGAAAATGGGCTGCCCCAGTAGCCACAGAGTGGTGGAAACTCTTGAGGCGAGACACGAGATATAGGTTTTGCAGGGCACGAGACTATCGCAGACAAATCCTATTTGACTTGTGTTGTGTCAAATAGTTGATGTTTCGAACAGAGCAACCGAGCTGGGCCGACCCATTGACGTTTTAAAGTTTTGCATGCTGATTCGGGTTTTGGGAACATGTCATAGCCCGGGTTTTTATCGATTTTGAGAACTTTCTAGAGGATTCTTGGAATTGTTTCTCTTTTTTGGTTTTAGTGGGTTTTATGTTTGAGATGTGCTACGCGTCGGTCGGCTGATCTTTTCAAAAGACTCACCACCTCGGCAACCGTTAAATCTGACGCCATCCAGCGCCCAACATCGTCCACACCATTGCAACAATGGCAGTGTTGCAGAGCCCCGTGCAATAGAGCTCATGTTGCAGAATTTTTTTCCAACATATATGATGGTGTAGTTTTTTCGCCCTCATTTTTACATTACGGGTGTTGTTGTGGAAGAAAATTTTGCAACACGGATGATGTTGCGAAAAAATGATAGGAACACATATGCAAAGACACGTGTCACATGGAGGCGGCAGACCTTGCACGATCCGCCAGCTGAACCGAAGCGTTTTAGAGGGTTCTTGAACTATTTTTTTCTCCCTTGGTTTTTGGTTTTCTTTTTTCCTTTTTCATCCTTTATTTTTCTGCATAAATTCAAAATTTTCAAAATATGCTCAAAAATCTTAAATATTGATCAGAGTTTCAAAAATTGTTAGAAAAAATATTTTTGGGTGAAATAATGGCATTATTATTGGTTTAAGTGAGAAGCTGTGTTTTCCTAGATACAATTTTGTCTCGTTTATTCTACCATGTCTGAAATCCTTTGCATGTTGTTGCTCACAATTTTGCGTGGTTTATTAATGATCCTGGTCGCACATGTATGTTTGTCCCCGAAGTTTGATCACAAGTAGTCTTATGTCACAAAACATATGTCATCAGAAATTTCTTTTGAATACGAATTCTTTTTTTGAGTTGGCTTTTGAATATGGATTCAATGGTATATTTTATTGGTTAAGTCATGTCAGGAAAAGATCATTTGAAATTCCTTTTGAATATAAATTTTTAGTGATATCTGAAAATACGGGTAGACCTTAACGGGGTTCTATGAATTTCCCATTAATGCGGGATGTGAGTACAATATAGTGGGAGTTTTTTGTGAATGATATGATCTCTAGAAATCATTCTAGTATCACATCAACTTGTTGTAAAATGGCCCGAGAGCCATGCCCACCAGAGAATGGAAAATCAGGCCCAAATAACATATGCCTCCCAAATGCTATTCAAGACCTTCTGCGTCTGTTAACGTACCTTTCGTTAATTGGTGCCTGAAGGCATTCAAAAACGGGCCAGCCCATCTAAGGTTGTAGTGGGAGGAGTAGGTCTCGGTTTTGGGAAGTTTCCCATCTGTTTTTTGTTTTGTTTTAGGTATCTAACCGGTTTTGTTTGTTTTCCGCATTCTTTTCTATTTTTCTTGTTAAATGCATGAAACTTTTTTCAAATTCGCGAACCTTCTCTTCAAATTTGCATGAACCCTTTTCAGATTTTTTTTACCTTTTTATGTTTTGTCAACCTCTCTTTTGCAAATCTAACATTGTTTTTTAAAATTGCTGAACTGTTTTCAAATTAACAATTTTTTTTCAAATAGATGTTTCATTTTTTTCATGGAATTTTGTTTTCATTTTTTTTATTTTGTATGAATTTGACAAGGTAATCCTTTTTGAGTTTACAATTTTTTTCAACAGTAGCTTAAAGAACATGACATTTTTTCCTACCACACCAATATCAGAAAAAAAATTACTCCCTCCTTTTCATAATGTAAGACGTATTTTGACACTAGTATAGTGTCAAAAAATATTTTACAGTATAGAACGAATGAAGTACTTGGCAAAACGAGCGAGCGGGCCGCTAGTGCCAAGTTGGCCCGCTGGCATGCCTGCGAGGGCCAGGTTTGCTAGCGGGCGCTGATTAGGAGGACTTTGGGGGACCTCCTATGCGCCGCTCTTTGCGTCCGATTCGCATGCGCCGCACAGGTACAGCCCCCCGAATGGGCCGGCCCATCGTCGCGACGAAACAGCAAAATGATCACCTAAAATTATAACGCGGAGCGGG